CACCCGAATTAATTCTTGGAATAGAGCCGTCCGGGGGTCTTCTAATCCTCTCCCTCTTCCTGCTCTGGACAGGCCTTGACACTCCCATCCCGCCACCAACAAGTCCACTTGCCCCCAGCTTGCTACCACCTCCTCGGTCACCTCAGTCACATCACTCATCCTTTCCGCCTCCAACCGGGCCTGCTCGACTACGTCTCTGGATAGCTTGTCTGGGAATCGCTCGTGCAGCATCATCGCGTGATGCATCGCCATCCTCCTGACCTCTGGGTTCTTCTCCACGTAGGTCCATCGCTCCACCACCATGCCCAGACGGACACAGGCGGCCAGCCCCGGGCCGACACCCCCGAACAATTCCACCAGCCGTACCGGCCTATTGAAAGTTTCGAAGTCATAGGCTGGTTCGGCCAGTCCTCTGGCCTCCCTCAGTTCCTCCACCCTCGCCCTAGCCGCTTCCTCCATCCTTCGTCGACTGGCTGCCCTTTCCAGGTACACTCCTGCATCTTCCCATCGCTGCTCGGGCACCCGCTGGTGATGCGGTTCCCGATACTCCACCCTTCCTCGCAGAAAGCGCGCCGGCAGGATGGCTCCCTCCTCTCCAGCTCGGGTCGCTTCTGAATCCCAATACAGTGGCTGGTAGGTAACCCTCTCCGCCCACGTGTCCACCACTGCCCCCACCTTGTAGAGGAGCTCCATGCCGAGCAGGAGGTCATAGTCCTCCGAGTCAGATACCAGACAGTGCACTCGGATTCTGGTCTCCTCTGCCCTTCCTGGCGCCAACACTACTTCTTGGGGTCGGATGGTTCTCGGCAGCCATGTTCCATCCCCTCCTTCCGCCGTTTGAATCCTTACTCCTTCCGGCGTCACATTCTCGGCCCGATGCAGTCCCAGCCTCTCGGCCAGTCGCCTTCCCACCAGCACTTGGGACGCCCCAGTATCGATAATTGTTGTGCCCGGGTATTTCCCTTCCACTGCTACCGTCCCCTCCAGCGCTTCCACCACGCAGGGACGAGCCGCCATCCTTTCAAACGGGTGCCTCCTGGGCCCCACTCGGGCTACCGCCCGCTGCACTGCTTCTTCCGCTGCTCCTGCCGCCTCCTCTACGGCCTCGTCTACTGTTGCCCGCGGTCCCCTCCTTACTGTCGCCGTGCCCCTTCGGCCGTCTGCGGCACCACTGCGCAGGCCCAGGTCTTCCCTCTCCCTCCCCGGGTTTGTCGCCATGAAGATGGGCTCCGGTCCTTCTTCGTCGGACTCTGCCGCGTACCTTGCGATGTGGACTGGCTTTTCCTCTTCTGCCATCGTGTCCTCTTCCTCTGCCCGAAGCCTCCTCAGCTCTTCTTCCAGCTCCTCGATCCTTCCTCTCCTTCCCCCTCGACCCTTCTGCTCGCGTTGCTTAGTGTAGCAATTGTCAGCCTGATGCCCCTTTCTCTGGCAATAGGAGCAGGTCTGCAGCTTGGGGCAGTCCCTCTTGAAGTGCCCCGGCTCCCGGCACTTGTAACAGACCGGCTCTTCTCCAGGAGAGTAGGCCGAGCTGCGAGGCTTCCGCGTCCGACTCTTAGAGGCTCGATCCCTTTCCTGGTCTTCCTGTTCCGCCTCCTCTCCCGCCAGTAGGGCCCCTCCCCAGCCGACTCCCCTGCGCTCTCTCTCCCTGGGCAGCTTATCAGTCTTCCTCCCCAGGTCATAGAGGCTCAGGGACTGCTCGTGACGCCATGCGATTTCATACGCCTGTCGCAGCGTGGCGTTGGGACCCAGGTCGTATGTCCGATCCCTCACGGTCCGCTCTAGCTCTCCGGCCAGGCCGTCCAAAAATTTGGCTACTATAATACGCGGTTCGCTGCAGCCGATGTCCTCCGCCAGTTGATGCACTCGCCGGTAATAGCCCAGGAGAGACTCTCGTGAACCTCGTCTCAACTGGTCGAACTCCCTCATCCTGGCCGGCGTTTGCGTGGGGAAGTGCGCCGCCAATTCTTGCAGGAAGCGCTCCGTCGGATCCCGTAAGCGGATGGGCTTCCCTTCTTCGTCCCGTAGCAGTCGGCCCTCCTCGTCTCGCTCTTCCTCCTGCAGCAGCGGGTCCCTAATCTCCAGGTAAAACGCTTTCGCCTCCCCCGCCAGCGTGTTCCCCAAAGATCTGAAGAAGTGCCGTAAATCCAGGCTGTCCATCTCCCATCCGTATCTCTCGTTCCGCAAGTGCATCGCGTAGGTCTTCACTCTCGGTCCCGACTCTTGATCTCCACTGAAGCGACTCGGAACCTCCACCTTAGGGAGGCTGGTGTATCGGTAACGTGACCCCTCCTCCCACAGCGAGCGTCTTGAATTCCCGCTTCCGGATGGCGTCACCTGCCCTCCCCTTCCTCCTTCTGATCCAGCAATTGGCGCAGCGATGCCCCTCCCCGCCACCGTCGCCTGTTCTTCTGACGGCGACCGCTCTCCCTGGGTTCTCTCGGCGCGCATCGCAGATCGTCCCGAACCGCGGGGGGTCGTACCACCTCCGCGTCGTTCTTCCTGCCGGCCCTTGTCCTCGGCGTCATTCCGGGCAGTTACTCGCTCGGGATCGGATCTCTCCCCCGGGCTTTCTTCCACTTCGTTCCCCGATGGAACTCCTTCCTTCTCCGGTGGTTCTCCCATTCCGGACAGCTTGGCACCACTACGTAGTGACATGCCCGCCATGACTTTTGTTTGTAAAAGAAACTCTCGACGCGAGTAGCTAGTTTCTTTTCCTAGGCACAACTGGCCGCACTAGTTTGGCTTCTCCGGCGTGGATTTAGCAGTTGCTCAGCTTGACAACAGATCACAACTGAATCACAAGCTTTCCCACAATTACGAGAAGACAAACAAAAGTGAGTTGGTGTCCTTGCCGAGCTGGTTTTGGCTCCCTGTCACCCCTCGTGGATTTGACCCTCGGGGTCTGCCAACTACCCCTCGCACCGCCCAACCCTTGGGGCATTTTTCCTGCATGCGGCTCGGCCAAGCCTTGTCACCCCTGTCCCCCTTCCAGTTCACCGGTGGCCCTTGCCAGGTCAACCATTGTCCCGTCCTGACCTCCTTTCGAGTGGCCCCACCCTCGATTCTCCTGTTCCTGCCGTAATTCCGATATCGCCACAACCCTCCTACCCGTACATTCTACAGTACACTTCACTACAATACAAACTATACTACTTCCCTGACAACTTATCTAACCGTACTCACCTTAGGAGCTGTCTCATGAACCTTTGTGAACTCATTCTCAAGAGTCATGCGACAAGGGGGTCGAGGGCCGTCGTAACGGAAAGAGCGACGAGAGGTCGGCGCCGGTACGGTAAGCAACCCCCCAACGAAGATCGCGCCGGCTCCTCCCGGTCCATCCCCTACTCGCCCCTGCATAGGTCGTGGTGGAGATCCCGGTGCGCTGCCCTGAGCCCTGCCTGCACCTCGGCCTATGGATCCACCAGCCCTGGAAGCCATAACTCCGCCCTCGACCCTAAACCCGAAAACACCCTTCCTGCAACGGTAGCGTTGGATGGTGCCGCACGTTCCTAAACGTTATCCCGCACGGTTAGGTCTCTGAAATGCGCGATCCGAATCCTACGGCGTAGGATACGCCCTACTTGAGCCCTTTGCGGAGATGCTGGCTGAACCTTAATAGTAACCCTAAACACCCTACACTACGTTAAACCCTATGCATAGATCTAATGTCCGTGTACATTGCAAGTATCAGCGTGCACTTGCTTGCACCTAGAACAAGGAGGCTAGGGCGGCTGTGTGAGGGAGCGCTAAGGCGAAAACGAGTTCTGAGTTTAAGCTCACGAAATGAGCTCAAACACAAATTGGCCGCGACCTAAATCTGGTCGCGGCCAATTTTGACGCGAACCTTTTTGGTGTTCGCGTGGCCCCCAAGTCGAACACGAACATGTTCGTGTTCGGCTTGGAGACCCGAAATTCTGGGGCGAACGTCGAACATGTTCGGCCGAACACGGAACATGTTCGGCCCGAACAATTTTGGCAAAAAAAATTGCGTGTTCAGTTTGCCTCGAACATGTTCGAGGCGAACCGAACAGGCGTTCGGGACTTTGCTCATCCCTAGTTGGGTCTTGTAGATCCAGTGCGGTGACAAGTGGTATGTGGCGACGAATTGGTTGGGACAGTGAGTTCCAACAATTTTGACGAGGAGGGAGGGGTGCCTGACTTAGGGTTCTCAGTTCGTGGCGAATTCAAATTGACCACCGAAATCGCCAATCTGTGCAGAGCTATGGGTGAAATCGCCGATCTGCGCAGATCTGCGGGCGAAATTGCCGATATGCGCAGATCGACGGGCGAAATCGCCGATATGCGCAGATCGGCGGGCGAAATCGCCGGTATGCGCAGATCGGCGGGCGAAATCGCCGCAACCGATAGGGACCGCTTATAATGGTCTGAGTTTCGGGGGGGAGCGGCTTTTTAGGCCTGATAGTTAGCAATTTCTTTGATGTTCACATTCCTAGAAGTGGATGGTAGCAAGTCTTAAGTTTGATACTTTTTTTTGCGGAGAAAAAAGCTCTAACAAAAAAACCGCAGAATTTTTGAAAATTGACCGTAAAAAATGGCCCGTATAATACGACAACCATATTCTTTATCCTTGGTGTGGACAGGCATGGCGATGAATGAATCATGAACCCTGTTTGACGCGCCTCACAAGTAACAGCAGGTGTGGACATGTATGGCGATGAATGAACCATGAATGAATCCCACCCAATCCGAGCGGTGGCGGTGCTTGTGTTCCTTCACCCGTGCCGCGAGCCGCACAGCCCACCCCACGCTGTGCGATGCCGTGGGGACCTGGCAGGAGATTGGTCCGCCCCACGCTGTGCGACCGGGGGGGAAATTGGGTCCGTGACTGACAATAACATCACAGATTCACACCACCCCAGATTCGGGGTGGCGGATTGCGGTGTCAGCTTTCACTTCAGCCCCTCCCATCCAATGGTGTGGTGTGTACATCGTAGTCTCCCAGCAGGCCACAAACCCCTTGTTTTGAGGCGCCTCAAAACTTAACTTGCAATGCCAGCTTTCAGTTCAGCCCCTCCCCTCCACTCAGGCTGGTGTGGTGTGTACAGCCAGGTGCTTCCTGGGGTAGGTCGAGCTGGAACGCCAGGGCTGACGCGAAGTGGGCAGGAGAGAGCCGCAGACTGTGAGTAAAGGGGACAGCCATGAGCCAATCAGTGGGTGGGATGGCCATCAGCCAATCCCCTGCTCCCGAGCCAACCAGGGATGTCAACCACTGCGTGTGGCCCATCAGTGGGTAAAAGGGACGGCATCAACCAATTTCCTGCTCTGCTCTAGGAGATAGGGCGTTCTGACCAAAGAGAGAGGGCATGCTGACCAAAGAGAGGGCATACTGACCAAAGAGAGGGCATACTGACCAAAGAGAGGGCATACTGACCAAAGAGACACCATCTGAGCTGCGTGAGGAGGGTTGCAGGTAGGCGAAGCTGCACTCCGCCGTGGACGCAAAGTTGCACCCCGCTGCCAGGTAGGCAAAGTTGCACCCCGCTGCCAGGTAGGCAAAGTTGCACCCCGCTGCCAGGTAGGCAAAGTTGCACCCCGCTGCCAGGTAGGCAAAGTTCCACCCCGCTGCCAGGTAGGCAAAGTTCCACCCCGCTGCCAGGTAGGCAAAGTTGCACCTCGCTGCCAGGTAGGCAAAGTTGCACCCCGCTGCGGCAAAGGCGCCTCGAAATAAAAGGGCATTGCGGCAGCTGTGGGCAGATAGCAGGCTGAGGTTCGGCCGACAAGGCAGCAGTCAGCAGAGAGAAGGCTGCAGGCGGGCGTATTTTGAGGCGCCTCAAAATAAAGGGCATTGCGGCAGAGCTGTCAGCAGAGCGCAGGCTGAGGGTCAGCCGACAAGGCAGCAGTCAGCAGAGAGAAGGCTGCGGGTGGGCCAACAGGGCAGCGGTCAGCAGAGCCTTGAATTTGCCTCCCTCCCCCCCCCCCCCCCCACACGATGACTACTCAGCGAGTGGGTGTGCTTCTGGCGGTGTCGTTGCACAATCAGATTGAAGCAGGCACACCCACTCACAGCACCTAACTGGGCTGCTATGCGCGGCACGAGTGACGCCAGAATGAGTGATGCCAGCACTCCCCTCCCAAATTGGGTTCGGGCAGCGTTGGTGCGTCAGGATGGTGTTGCAGGTCCGGGGACTTTTGAGCCGGGTAATCCGTTTTGGTTTCCCTGGTCTTCAGTACTAGAGCTGGAACTTTCCTCGTCTGTGCCTCTGTCCCTCTCTCTCCCCTCTTGTTCCCAACTGTCAGCTGTGTTTTTCACGACTGCCGGAAGGCATGGGGAAAGGCGGTCCAAATCTGGGCCGTGGGTGCTAACTGTTCCCTCACTCGAGGGCTCATGTGCCTCTGTCTCTCTCTCTCTCTCTCTCTCTCTCTCTCTCTCTCTCTCTCTCTCTCTCTCTCTCTCTCTCTCTCTCTCTCTCTCTCTCTCTCTCTCTCCTCTCCTGTTCCCAACTGTCAGATGTGTTTCTCAAGGACTGCCAGAAGGCACGGGGAAAGGCGGTCCAATCTGTATACATCCATCCATGTCACAAAGCAGTCCTGTAGGCTGTTTCTTCTCATCACCTTGTGCTTCTCTCACTCCTTCCCTCCTCTCCTCTCTCCTGTTCCCAACTGCCAGCTGTGTTTCTCAGGGACTGCCAGAAGGCATGGGGAAAGGCGGTCCAAAGCTGGGTCGTGGGTGCTGACTGTTTTTACGCCCTAGGACTCTTCTGTGACGATACAGGCATGATTTCCCAGATGTAAGCGTGATCAAGATAGATGTAACTGTGATCAAGATAGATGTAAGTGTGATCAAGATGTAAGTGTGATCAAGATGTAAGTGTGATCAAGATGTAAGTGTGATCAAGATGTAACTGTGATCAAGATGTAAGTGTGATCAAGATGTGACTGTGATCAAGATGTGATTGTGATCATGATGTGATTGTGTTGTGACCATGATGTAAGTGTGATCATGAGGTAAGTGTGATCATGATGTAAGCGTGATCTGATCATGATGTAAGTGCGATTATGGTGTGAGTAGGGATGAGCAAAGGGTGAACACGAACATGTTCGTCTTCGCCCCTTGTCGAACACCCTCTTTTGCCGAACCGAACACTGTTCGGTTCGGCGAACAGTTTAGGAAAAAACAGGTGTTCGCTGTTCGCCTGTGGAGGCGTGTTCGGGCGAACCTCGAACACTGTTCGTGTTCGTCGCGGGCAAATTTCAGCAGCGGCCCGAACACGAACGTGTTCGGGCGAACATCGAACACTGTTCGGCGAACGATTTGAGCTAAAAAACAAAACCTGTTCGGTTCGCCTCGAACGTGTTCGCCACCTTGCTCATCCCTAGGTGTGAGTATGATTATATGATCATGATGTGAGTGTGATCGTGTTTCGTCTAGAATGGATTGGATCCCACACAAGTTGCCAATCCTGCAGGCTTGTGTTGATTGATTTCTGCGCGCATTGGTGGAATCTGCACCGTTTATTCCCAGTGCTGGCGTCACTCGTGTTTCCGTCTGGTTTCCTCAATTTCCTCCCGCACCCAAACCCCTCGTAGCTCTTACTCGGCGGCGGATCTTAAGGGGATTATTCCTGACAGCATCTCCTCTCTCGCTGCACTAAGTGTTCTGTAAGAACCTCACAGAAAAATCATGAGCTCACCTTTTTTTTTTATGCTTGGGTTGCTTGTGTTGCTTGCTGTGCTGTTGCACCCTCTGTCTGTCCATGCCCAATATTCTCATCTCCTCACCTTTTTCGCCTAAACCCTTTCACACACAGGGTTCTTTCAAACAACAGTTTGACTGGGTCCATTCCCAACAGCATCTCCGGGCTTTCTCAGCTCAAATATCTGTATGAAGCACCTCCTTTCAGTCTGGTATGAACAAACACTCTGGGCGATCACATAAACATTTTAAATTCCTCGAGGGAATATCCTTAGTCTAATATCCCAGATGCCACACGCACGGAAGAAAGCAACGAGTTTCAGGTAATCATAACGTATATGGCCATGCAGTTGCCTTGCTAGCCAAGTCAGGATGAATATATCACAGCCCAACTTCCTGGCCCTCCCCATCCCAGATTAGGCCAACCACGGTGTGTGACTTCTTGGGTGTGTGACTTCTTGGGTGTGTGACTTCTTGGGTGTGTGACTTGAACCGTTTGCCTACCGAACTGCAATTCGGTTTCCTCATGCCTGCCTCCTACCATGCTAGTCTCATCCTCCAATTAGGTCCACTCTGTGCGCTTGATGTCATTCGGTCCATGCCCATTAATCTCATCTCCTCCCCAACTCATCCCATGCACACACAGGGTCCTTTCAAACAACAATTTGATGGGTTCCATTCCCAACGGCATTCACTCGCTTTCTGATCTCGCTTATCTGTATGAAGCTCCTCGTTTGAGCCTGGTGCTAAGCATGTATGGTCAAAGATCAATGGCAAACAAGAAAGAAGGGGTTTCGGTTGATTACGACGCATATGGCCACTCCTCTTCCTGCCCCCCCCCCTCCCCCCCTTCTAGCCCTGGTGAAACCAGAACTTAGTCGAACTGGTTAACAACTCAAACTTTGTTTTTTGCATGAACCCGTTCGCCTCGAACCGAACTGCAATTCAGTTTTCACTCATGCGTGTCTCCCAACATGCTCGTGTCACATCCCATTCAAATCGATTGCGTGTGCTTGCTTTTGCTCACTCCATGTCACTCCATCTCCTCACTTACTTTTCCTCCCCAACCCATACCACGCACACACAGGTCTCTTTCAAACAACAGTTGCCCTCTATTCTCATGTCGTCACTTATTCCATTCCAATCCATAACCTCGCACACAAAGGTGTCTTTCAAACAACAGGTTGACGGGCTCCATTCCCAGCAATGTATTCACGCTTCCTCAGCTCACTTACCTGTATGAAGCACCTCGTTAAAGGCTGGGGATAAGCACACAATGAGTGGTGACACATAGAGTGGGGTGTGTATGGGTTTCAAACTATCAGTTAGAAGTCCCTTCATATCCTAAGTCCTTAACCCTAAACCCTGGTTTGAAGGGCTGCTTGGACTTCGAGCCATAACCCCCCATACATATTCCCTGTAACCCCTCCTGCGATGATTTCTTGTACTCAGTGGAATCAACTCGTGGAAGCTATTGGCCTGCACTAGGATCGTCTTGCTCCCCCCCCCCTCATCCCCCCTCCCTTCGTGCTGTTCTTCATTTTTTCATCAGGCATACGGATAGGCATATGGCCAGCCATCTGGTCTGGTCGAACCGAGTCACCTCCGGGTCAGCATGACCTGCCCCCTCGTGTCACAGCCAGCCAGATCCTATAGGCTTAAATCGTACCCGCCTAAGCCTTTCATGGGTGGGGACGGGCTGGGACGGATCGACCCATTGCTCATGCCTAGCTTTGCGTGCTCTTTTTATGGTTGTACGCGTCACATCAAACATTTTAGCTCATCGAAGGATGAGCACTGTTCGAACAAGGTTCGGCCTTGGTCAGGATGGTTGTGGACATCCCCGGACCAGATCTAGCCTGTTAAGCCCGTCTGGGTCAGCCTGGGTCAGGCTGCTTTCTGCCCGTCACATCTGTCCTGGCTACAGGGACACTCGCACTGAGGGGATTGGCATGAGCAAAAATGCGAACCCGACCCCGTCGTAGGCGGACACATTCGGATTGTTTGTTGGGTTGGCAAACACGTTTGCCGCCTGTTTATTGATTTGACGTGGACCGAATGGGGTTTGCGTGAAAACCAGCACGTGTTGATTTCTACATTTTGTCAAGATCCTACGACACACCTGTGCTGCGCCGCCTATCACACTTTTTGCTAACTTTTCGAGTAACATTGGGTTTAGGTCACTAGACACGGTAAAGAAGCTTGGGGAAAGACAGCTTATGTGTAGGGCTATATTGTGGAAATAAGAAATGAGGAGGATATGTGGGGATTGGGAAGGGAAGGTGATGTGACCAAGGGCTTTGTGCGAACCAAGGGTGATGTGACCAAGGGCGTTGTTAGGTTAAAAATTAGTGCGAACGCGCTTGGTTTGGGTCTATGTGGACATGGACGCGTCCAGCGTTCTATACGCCAGCGTCCAGACGCTGGCGTATATACGCTGGACGCTCGGATGTCAGGACCTGGACGCTTGGGCCGGGCAGGGGAAAAAAAATTTCCGGGCAGGGGGAAAAAAAAGAGGGGGGAGAGGGGGAAAAGGGGGGTACCCGCCACAACACCATACATTTCCAGAAAGAATGTCATAACAAAAAAAAAAAACAGATTTATCCAAATAAATATTTCTACACACACACTTTCGGCCATCTACTGATACTCGTCCGCAAACACCTTCCTATCCGCCTCATTCTCCCCCTCCTCTTCGTCTTCACCCTCCTCAGGTACGTTGTAACCCTCTGGGATCGGGGCTTCAGGGATGTTCCCTGACACGATTACCCTGCCCGCGCGACCGAATCCCTGCTCCACTTCAGCACCACATTCCAGTTGTGGGCTACATAGACCAGGTCCCGACATTTCTCAGAACCGAGCCTGTTGCGCCGCGCCGTGTGCACGGAATCCCAGGTGGACCAGCCCCGCTCGCAAGGGGATGTGGAAACAGGTTGGGCAAGCACTCGACGCGCCAGTGTCGCGAGAGCCACGTTATCGGTTCCGTTCCAAGCCCACCACATCTCCATGTCCATCTTCCCCTCCTTCACCTTTGCCCGATGTGCCTTTGCCAGGGGCATCCCAAAGCTCCCCACACCATCCACATATGCCATCAGACCCTCTATGATTGTATCCGCCCCCTCCTCCCCAGCAGCATCCAAGAACTCAACCGCGCGCCCCATCCAGCCCTTCATAACCCGAGTGCACTCTGCATCCTTCCCGAATATTCCCTCAGTTTGGTTGGCCGGACTTAGAATCCGACCAACCACGTGGAGCGCGCATGCGAGGCTCCCATCCCATCGTTCCTTCACAATGCGGGCAATATCCTTCTTGTCCTTTTGGCTCAACTGCTTTTCATCCTCTTCCAGGACCTTGTTAATGTCCTCGGTCAGCTGCACTGCAGCATAAGATCATAAATACGGCCCATCATCCCCTTCTTCGCGGAGTCCGTCTGTCTCATCACCAAAAAAGGCAGCTTCATCAACTTGCAAAAGAATTCGGCGGTTGTCCACCACGCCGGATCAAGGACATACCCTTTGAACGCATCCGCACTCTCCTTCACCTTCCCCACTGCCCATCCCTCCCACACATCGACACAGACCATCGTCGTCAGGTTTGCGCGCAACTCACACAAGCGGGACATGGAAATGTAATGTGTCCCGAAACGAGTGCCAGCAGGTTTCAATGCCTGCAGCCCCTTCCCACCATGGTTTGCCGGGTTCCTCAAGAAGGCCCGCGTCATGTGATGGTTGCGGATAAACGTGTTCATCTTATCCGTCCTCTCCACCACCGTCTTGGCCCACGTGAGCTCCCCGAAGTCTTCCATCAT